TATATATATATATATATATATATATATATATATATATATATATATATATATATATATATATATGATACTGTCAAGCAGTCCAGGAGTCCAGGCAAGAGCTTCTTGCCCAAATGGCTAGCCTTGCCACATTGAAAGCAAACTCTGAAATAAATTAGTGCTGCCAGGAGCAGATGTGTCTCATTGTCATGAAAAGCCTTAAGTTAACCAAACATTTAAAATGAATGCCATATTCTGTAGGTCTTTGAAAGGTTTGAAGGCCATCTATCTATCTAAAATATATCTCTATATGATCTGCAAGGCATACCTAACTATCTACAATTTTGATTGTTATAAATGACTAACCACTGACCTATGTTCCTGATTATCCTATATAATTTATAATAATAACTTTCAAAATCTAGAACTTCACCTTACATTTCCAAATGAACTGCATAGGAACAATAACTCAAACAAAAATAGAAACATACACATAATATGTTGTAACAAAAAACCCTTAAATATTTATCAATATACAAAAACCCCTCAAACAAGAACAGAAACATATATACTGTGGAGGTATTGTGTTCCCTGAAATATTGTGCACGCTAATAAACTTATCTGGGGTCAGAGAACAGAACAGCCACAATATTAAACATAGAGGTTAGGCAGTGGTAGCACAAGCCTTTAATCCTAGCATTCCAGAAGCAGAAACCCTCTGGATCTCTGTGAGTTCAAGGCCACATTGGAAACAGCCAGGCATGGTGACACATGCCTTTAATCCCAGGGAGTGATGGCAGAAAGCAGAAAGGTATATAAGGTGTGAGGACCAGGAACTAGAAGCATTTGGCTGGTTAAGCTTTTAGGCTTTGAGCAGCACAGTTGAGCTGAGATTCATTTGGGATGAGGACTGAGAGGCTTCCAGTCTGAGGAAATAGGATCAGCTGAGGAACTGGTGAGGTGAGGTAGCTGTGGCCTGTTCTGTCTCTCTGATCTTCCAGCATTCACCCCAATACATGGCTCCAGGTTTGTTTTTACTAATAAGACCTTTTAAGATTCATGCTACAATATACAGTGTGTTGCAACAAAAATTACCTTAAATTTGTTTCCATATACAAAAGTCCTTACAAATACAAAATATTTGAGATCAACAATTGTCCATTAGTTTATAGCAGATTCAATAATCTACTCTATTATGTAAAGTAGATTCAATAATATACCCTTCTATCTTATCATTCCTACACCCCCTCTCTTTTTTCTTTTTTTCAAAGAGATTCCTTAATATATCATTTATAAAGAAAAATATGCTGATATTATTTCTATACATCAGAATTATACAGCTCAGGCAGAAATCATCTTCCTGACCATCCACACCTAAATGTGTGCCCAAAGATATAAAACACACTACAGTGGGCTGTGGAAAGAACCCCACAGATGTTACTTTTAGGGAGATATGGTGATGGCACACGAGAAAGTTACAGATAGTAAACAATCACTTTCCACAGCCAGTGACTCCACAGCTTTGCCAGGTGGGGCTTCCCATCAGAGTTATTCATCTGATAGGTCGACCTGTTGAACATTAGTTGTTACCTGCTGTATACTCCCATGGCCCTTGACAAGTCTTATAAATTTAGAGCTAATATTTATGTCTATGAAAAGTTTTAAATAGTTAAAATAAAACCAAAGGATTATGAGATTATTGGCAATAGAAAAGTCCTTAAATTTTGGTTTTCTTCTGTCCCCCATCACATGACTCTTCTGACATGAGACAGAGATTTTGGATTTTCCTTTAACAAGCATGCTTGGGTTTAGAGAAGGAGAGAGCCATGCTCCAACCCTAAAGCCAGCTTTAAATTTTAATTAAATTGGGACTACAAAAAGACCATTTGCCTTTTATAGTTATAAAGGACAGCAAAAACAAATATTTAGGAAGACTTATGAAAATTTTTTTAAAACAATTACAGACATAGATCATTCTTTTTTTTTTTTTTTTAAAAGATCTATTTATTTATTATGTATACAGTATTCTGTCTGCATGTATCCCTGCCAACAAGAAGAGGGCACCAGATCTCATTTCAGGTGGTTGTCAGCCACCATGTGGTTGCTGGGAATTGAACTCAGGACCTTTGGAAGAGCAGCCAGTGCTCTTAACCGCTGAGCCATCTCTCCAGCCCGACTTATGAAATTTTTTTTTTTTTTTTTTTTTTTTTTTTTTTTTTTGGTTTTTCGAGACAGGGTTTCTCTGTGTAGCTTTGCGCCTTTCCTGGAGCTCACTTGGTAGCCCAGGCTGGCCTCGAACTCACAGAGATCCGCCTGGCTCTGCCTCCCGAGTGCTGGGATTAAAGGCGTGCGCCACCAACGCCCGGCTCGACTTATGAAATTTTATCCTGTTGAAAATATACTATACAGTTAGGCCAATTTAACTCATAGCTATCTCCTCTCCTCATCAGGAAGGCTCTCCTGTTCAAATCTATTCTTCATCAATCTTGATGGTATTAATAGTTTTTCTTCTCCTGTGGAAACAAAAGCAAAACCTCTCTCCCAATGTAAAACATTTCCTGGTTTCCATTCTGAGTTTGATATAATATATTCTGAGTTTAAAATATATAGGTTGATTTAATTCATCAGTTTTTTTCTACTATCTAATTTCTCTTCGCAGCTGTTGTTCCTTTTTCATTAGCATTTAAGAAATTTAAAGTTAATAAAGCATTGTGTAATCTATCTCTGGGTGTTTTTTATTACTCCCTTCTGTTTATTAATGATTTCTTTTAAATTTTGATTAGACCTTTCTTTTACTTCTTGTCCTGTGGGGTTGTGTGGTATACCTGTAATATGCTTTATGTTATAATATTAAAAACTATTTCATTTTAGTAACACATATGCTGGAACATTGTAAGTCTTAATTTGTACAGGTATTCCCATGATGGCCATAACTTCTAATAGATATGTAATTACAGAATCAGTCTTTCCAGAACTCAGAGCAGTTTCCCACTGAAATCTGGAATGTGTATCTATAGTATGGTGCATGTATTTTAATTTTCCAAATTCTGCAAAATGAAACACATTCATTTGCCGAATTTTATTTCTTTGAGTACCTATTGGATTACTTCCTGCATGTAGTGGAGTTTGGTTATACAAAGAACTAGTAGGACATTTCCTTATAATTTCCTTGCCTTGTTGCCAAGTGTGGAAAAATCTTTTTTAAATCCTTGCTATTGACATTATGTTTTGTTTTTGAAACTCTGAGGCCTCCAGCACATTTCCTATTAATAACTGATTGATTTCATCATTACCTTGTGCTAGAGGGCCTGGCAGACCCTATGGTATCTGATATGTGTTACATGTATGGGATGGTTCCTATTACTGACTATTTCCTGTAATTGTATAAATAATAAAGTTAATTCTGACTTATCAGGAACAAGTTCAGTGGTTTTAATATGTAAGACAACTCTTTCTGCATATTGAGAGTCAGTAATTATATTAAGAGGTTCTGA